ACCAACAGGCAAACTAACGAGCACCAACCACGTCTAACTTCATATCACACAAAGAAATCGAATATTTCTCAATTAAATCACTATGGCGACCAAAAAAAACTACATAACCTTCACCAACCTGCATCTTTTGTAACCCTGTGTTACGAGTTTGTCCGTCAGTTGACAACTTCTTGCACGAAAATCGTGATAATGGGAACAGGCCCTTGAATATCGAATCAACTGCGACATGTAAACGCCATAAGTTGCGGGTACATGTATATCGCTATCCAGAAATGGAAAATTCACAAAAGAGAAATTTGATTGTAATAGAAACTGTTAATTAAAGACTTTTTAAAATAAATTATATCATTATTTTATTTATCAAAAAATAGTTAATGCTCCTAGCTGCGAAATATTGGCTTGATCTCTGTAACTGATATTAAACATGAAACGTTCTTTTTCTGCGAATGATCCTTAAAACTTATTGATGGATGACTAGCCGTGATGAACTAGTTTCTGATCCGTATCCCATCAATGAACGATAATTAGTCATGTGTGTAGGATTTTAATCCTTCTAAATCTCGTAGGAGTTATATAATAGTGATCAAAACAAATATTTATTATTTCATCCAAAGTTGTCCTGATTGCAATAGATGTTTCTTTATCCTTTACTATGTATATATTTATTGTTATTGTTTGGAAACAACAGATACATGCTATGCATTTTGATAATCCTTTCCATTCGCGATATGACGAGATAAAATTTGATGAAATGAACACTAGTGACAGAATTATATTTACATCTGATACACTGACTTACAGAGATACCAGCGCCTTATATATACACACTACGACCAAAGCAATCCCTGATATCTATATTTAGATGTTTTATCACCCATTAGTACCTAATATATATAATGTATACGCACAATAAAGTATCAAGTTTAAAAATATGCAGCATTTATCTACGTCGTGTGTTTACACTCAGGTGCATTGTACACAATGTATCACCATAAACATTATGTAGTGTTTCCATCCTTTTCACTTATCACGTCATTCCAAGCTCAACATCAGAACGACACTCAGAACAAAGACAAAACTCAAAGTATTCTTCAAGTTTAAACAATATCAATTGCGTTAAATACTCAGGTTTTATTCTAAATTTATATCTAACATGTATAGTGAAACAGAAAGTCTATTAACCCAACTTTTCACCGAGGGAAATTCGAAAGAAATAAGTAAACAATGCGCATTTCATCAGTGTTTAGAAGGACCAAGATGCAGGTTGTGTCCACAACAGAGCAGATACGATAGAGTAACGTTCATCAGCTAGTATCCCATAAGAACAAATATACCGAAGTACAGTCATTGTCTCTTCTAAACAATTAATTAACATTCTCAGTCTCCAACAATAAACATGATGGGTCCGAAATGTCTTACGCCACGCCTTTGTATTGGTTGGAGACGTGACTACGTCATACAGGGTGCGGCTTACCGATTGATTAATGTACCAAGTGTACAGACATTCTGAAGTTGAAAGGCTTCATTAATTTATCATAAATGCAATTTACTTATCCGGCGAAGGCAGAGCGTTGTTTATTATGTCCACACAGACTGTTTTAGCACGAACGCTGTATCAGTGCAGATTCTGGTACACGCGTCTGGTCGTTACTCCTTCACTGCCTGTTAAAACGACCTTCAGGAAGTTTTCAATGACAATATAAAACATCAAGTCTTTTATGTCTCATTTATGTCAAGAACCATTTCACTGATCAGTACTGTTGCCATATAAACAGTTTCCATGGACACGGGATCAATCATTACACCGGACATTGGATGGCCGTCTTCCGGAGAGGGGGAGTCTGACGGTAGTGAAGTTGATGTTCCTGATGTAGGAGCAAAAAAGGCAAACACGATCAATATACCATTGTTTAAACGACCTCTGGCTAATGTCAGTCACCCCTCCTTCACATATTCGCTTGTTTTGGTATTTTCGCGATTCCACTGTACATACTGTTGCATGAGAAGTACTAATCCCATTCCCCATTTCACGTCATCATTAGATTGACCTGAAATTTTATCTCCCCAAAATGTGTCTTCGGGGAAATTATGTAACGTTTCTTCACACGCAACGCACACATACAGAGCCTAATTTGGTTTCCTAGAAAATACACATATATCAAACACTGCAAAGCGCGGCAACAAAACGTTATGAACTAAAGGGTCATAGCAGATAACGCTGTGGAGACGGGGTTTGTCCGCTCTTCACTTCACATAGGTCATTACACAATGTACTTAGTGCTGATTTCATGTCATTTGACGGAACGTGTCAGTAAAGACGAAGTGTACAGACATGTCGAGACGATTGTAATAACGTACTTAATAAAAAAAACCTTTTTTTTCTAACAATGTGTCTAGGATCTCTAACTTCCTCATTAGAACTGGGCTATGATAGGATCTGAAATCATCTGCTGCCATGGTAACATAGATTTGTTTTTTAATCATCTTTTTTTCTCTATTGGTATATTGAATTGTATACGTGTGCCATTACTAGTGTTTTTCCTGGTATGTTTTATTTGGTGGTCGGATACATTGGTAGGGTAGCCAAAAGAAATACTTATTCGGTACGCCATACATTCTGGGTAACTATTTCTAAGTGGAATTTATAAAAAGTTTATATATCATAACCGTATCCCTTGACATTGCTCCATTTGATGACAGAACTACATTTAGGTTTCATTTTTCAATATCTTTTAACGTGTTTTCTGTGCTTATTATTCTTTGATGTTTCGCTAAACCTGAGTAACTTGTCGTAAATTTCAGCACCATTGGAATGTTGTTACTATTCTGTCCACACAGAATCCTGACATCTTCGTCTGGCTCGAGATACTAAAGTAGCTATTCATAGAGGGTATTGAATGGTATCATGTTTAATATAATATACAGTATTTCAAAATGTCTATATTTTTCACGTGCCCGAAGCACGCGTGGAAAACTTAGATAACTTCGGTCATACATGTACACAAATACATTTAAAAATATAAACCCTGTTTTTCCTTTTTTACATTTCTTAAGGGAATCCGAATAAATAAGCCGATCAAAAGAGAAAATAAATCAATGTTTTCAAAAGTCTTTGGTAAGAGTCGCGTAAAAAACTGTTTGTATAATCAGAGAAAACCCGAAATGTACATGCAAAAGACCAGCTCATTCAACCTTCGCTTCATTTAGATGTTCGTTCGACCTTGGAAATCGGTGAATTTCAGTGGAACGATTACCATCCAACCATTACTGTGTTTGGTCAATACAACAAGTTACATAATCACTGGGAAAGTTATAAAGATGAAATAAGATTTCATCAAAATGATGAACCGCTTTATTTCACCAGCAACAATGTAACAACAAAGCATTGATAATGCCCTGACATTACAACAGCCGAGATTTACCGGGCATGGATACTGTATCATGAACCAATCCGCTGATTGTCGATCTAAGCAGACCTGCAATCATAAATAATACCCGAGCACACCTGTACAGGTAAGATGCTCGAGATTTCATCGATTATTGAGAGAAAACCTGTATCGACAGAAACAGTTACCTCTTTGATCAGCCATACATCTCACCTGTACATTATCAGAGAAGGCAAGCAACACGAATCATTTTATCTACATCACCTTTACAAAGGACGGTCACGACGGCACTTTTTAATTAAGTTATAAGTTCTGTCCACGAGATATTACCGTGAATGTATTTAGCCAACAAAACATTTGCAACTTGTGACTGGGATGTAAACACTAGCCGTCCTAGATCCTACCATTGTTATTCGGACATCTGAATATCACTGTCTGAATCCCAGACTTACATTAAAAATCTCCGTGAATGACGAATTTCTTGGTAATATTTTCTGTCGGATTCTGTTAAGTGCTAGTGCGCCACTTTGTCGTTTAGTTGTCCTGGTTTGATTCATTGAAGGTTGACTCTAATTATATTCCAATGTAAACGACATCGACTCTGTCCCTGTTTGTTGACGGGGATATTGCTAATCAAATCAACTAAAGACGTTGAAAACGGGGACACAGAGCACCAGGCAATATCACCACTAAAACTGCATTAATTTGTTGATGTATATCATCAAATATTCTGTTCAAGTCAGCTCAGTTTGTTAATAGTCACAACGGTGTTGACAACGTTCGTCAGATACACTTTGTGCTCCATCATGCTGGAAACAAAACCCAAACCTTGATATAGCTTTAGAGTTCTGGATGATGGTCAATTGAATTCTTGGAATTATGACCATATATAGACATAGTAAGAAAGGAAACATATGCCCATAATGAATGATTTCTTGTATAACTCTCCTGCTTTTCCTTTGAACATCTAATTCAATATTTAAAGTAAATGAAATCTGCAGGTACAATTTCGTTCTAAATTAAATATTTGTACCTGATGACGCCAAGAAGATTGCTATCCAAGAGACGGGGATTAGTATTGATCAACTCGGGACCGGGAATCACGCAATTAACACTGGTTAGGTCCACCCGACGTGTTCGGGAGTGTAAAACCAGAACCACTACAGAACAGTCAACACTATTCAATTACATCATAGGTTTTACTTAAACTTTCACATTTAGCTTTGTCTTAGTATAGCTATAATTAAGAACAATTTCCAGTGTTATAAGTTACCATGGAAACTGAGCAACTTAAAGGAGCGTGCAACATTTAATAATTGTAAGCTGTATGACTTTTTACAATGGCGTGGGTGTGCTGTAGCCAGCAGAATTTGTTATGGGGTAAAGCAGTTTCTTCGTCATTGTTGATTTCTATAAGGTGTACTATGCTTAAAAGATACTTGTGGGAAATATAATATAGTTTATTTTCATACCCGTCTTGGAAAGAGACTTCTTGAAATTCATAATAATGTAGTATATATATATATATATATTTATTTTGGGAGCTTAGTGTGTATCTCAGCAGCTTATTGGTTAAAAAGAATGTACAAAAACCATAAAGGTATTTTCACTTACCACCGCCGTTTTTCTGCGTCAGGTAGGGAAACCTCCACACGTTGCCCAGCCCCACAGCATAGCCAATGAGTGACAGGATAAACTCTGCTCGACTGTCCCATGTTTCCCGTTCCTCTCCCGTGTGGCGGGAAATCTTCTTATCAAGATCTATCCTCAACAGGTTAGCAGTAGAAGCGCCAGGTCCTATACTCATGGTACTTCCATAAGAGGTGGCAGGGCTGGGCAATGCCAGCGACTCCCTTCCGTCACGTACCTCACCTTCGTTAGTTGTTCCGTTCTCCTCCCCCGCTACCCCTCCGGGCGGGGCCAACAAATTATCTAACTCAATCTTTTCACGATTCGCTCTAGTATCACTCGCCATGTTGCTGGTGTAAGGCAGTAAGCAGCTATAGTTTCCGTGCAAATGGAAACGGTGAGGATTCACCGTAGTATCGAATTGGTCGGGTATTGATTTGTGGTGCTACTCTTCGGCCGTTTCTCCCGCTCACCGACAGAGGGCGCTATTACTACTAGATTTCAATGTAATTGAGGATGATAATGAACACATAGTATGTATTGCAGACAAGACATGGACACTGATATTACACAGTGACGTGTAGTGAAAAAATTAGGCTAAAATGAATCGATGATTACTTTGGCTGTATAATTCTGAGTACGTAAAGTTCTTCGCTGGGAACCATGCTCGTAGTCTACCTACATCACAGTGTTCAATGATTACACACGGCGCCGCGTGGTAATTGCAGGGTGATGTGGGGTTATTAATTTAAAGTTTTTGATGTGAGATAGTCGATTAATAATTAATGAATATGGCTGTTTTTAGCGATGACTGCTAAGTAAACGGTGTTACATGTTTATAACACGCATTGCTATTGCTGATAAAAAGCATAACCACGTGTTATTTCACATTTCAAGTGTCCTATGTCTTTTTGTGAAGTTCTTTTAACAAACTGAAGAGGTCGATGACGTAACAATAATGGCCACGCAACCAAATGGTATTATATTCTCACAAATTATAGTGCAGTCTCTAAACGTTACAGTACGGCGCAATTGTAAATATTCTTGGGAAATTGAGTCTAGTTAAAGCTATCTTTATTTCCTGTGTGGAGTTTGTGAACTCATAAGACAAAATAACACCAACCACCTACTTAATATGTCAGTAATTTATAGCACTGAATCATATATTGACATGTTAGGTATAACCTAATACTGTGATGTTATAGACAACAAGTTGATATTTTACATAAATTTCACAATAGTTGTCAGATTTCTTAAAACATGAAGCCTACTGTTGTATTAGGGCTTTACAAATTGCTTATGTACCATTGAGTTGTCTGCCCCTTGATGAATCCATTATATTTATCATACAAAGAATTCGCTTTACTATCCATAATTCCGCTGTATAAACAACCATACTCTTTAGTATCCTAAATGTAGCACACACTTTATTTTTTGTTGTTGTTGTCAATGGCGAAATAAACAAATTATTCTACCATTCACAAGAAGTAATTAGCATACCAACACCAGCATTAAACAGAATGCGTGTTCTTGACCATAAGTTTAGCTACTTACACCGAATAATTACAGAACAAGGACAGTCATAATTTTGATCTGAAGGTTAATACTCGTTCCAAAATAAATATGAACAATTTTTTTATCAAAATTTATATTGTCATTTTTTTTGTTTAGATATCACAATGTTACCACATGAGTTTCTCAATAAAACAAAACTCTGGTGCACTTTGAAAATTTCTGACTTCAAAAATACATTTACACAAAATTTTTTAGGAACCTATTAAAAACTTCAGTTGTTAAAACAAGATTTTAAAATGTGTGTTTTGCTGGTCTTGTTTGCATGGTTACTGTAAATACTGGAGATACAGCAGTACAAATGCTAGAAAACCATTCCCAACCGAACTTTATGCGTGTGTGCGTTTGATCTTTATTTTGGATGAAGTGTGTATGTTTATACTCGGAGGTTTTCATAGTACGGTTTGTGACGACAGCAATCCATAAAAACGCGTGCGAACAAACGAGTAGTCTCTACCTTACCACGTCCGGTCGTGGCAGGAGACTTGGGATGTTGATACCTAATAACTGGACCGTAATGTGATTACCTGGCTGATCGATACGTAATCTCATTACCTGATCGATTAGTTTCTTAACGAAACGCCTCATTCCGGATACTGGGTTCCGTTTTCGCGCCGAATACTGCACACCGTCTGGTCGGTGCCCGTCTATTTTTGGTCGATGATTATATTTGCGTCTCGAAATGACTAAAGTCCCTTTTCAAGCACCTGTGTATTATTTTTGTGCTTTTGTCTATGTTAATGACTATTTGTCCGTATTGGTTTCATTAACACTCCAGCTTGTATTCGATTCTATTGATTAGCTTTTAGTTTATTTTTAACGTTTTCGATCATTTTGAATTCGCATCATAATCTAAACTTGGGGAATGTTCTTTACGAGGAGTTAACATGTATTGTTATCTTTTAGTGTTTCATCTTATTTTGTAAGCTATGAATTGCTGTATAGACGGGTATGACTACAAATGTTTGTAAATTTCGCAAAACTCGGGATTCCATTCACCGACTTTCAGCTTGTTTGTTGCGTGTTTGCATTGCTACCTAGTCATCTACATACATCTTCTTTTGATATCAAAACTCGTACTTCCACTGAATGGATTTTATTTTCTTACTGGTAACTTCAAAGAAACTTACAACTAACCTGACTGACTCGTGTGTTTACATTCCCTGATTGTTTGCTATTTGACATAAAAACCATTCATGTAAAAAAAATCCCTCAGAACTATGTATAGCTAGAAATAAAAGCGTTCAGAACAATGCAGCTTTACTTCCGACTAAATCATTGGAAAATGCCTCTTGGACAGCAATACATTCGTGTAGGAGTCGACGTGCCGTAAGTCACTTTACACCCCATCCATACCATTCAGCTAACCAAACTCTTAATTGCTGCAGAGGGACCCACCGGACTTCATAAGGGAGGCTTTTGGTAAAGAATAATCAATCCAGTAGCAGAATGCTTGTCTTTAACCGAGGTTCGTGCTCCTGAATTGTGGCATGCAATTACGTCACAAATAAACTGTCCCGGGACAAGCCCCGTACTTTTGTATCCATATTTAACCTACGTATTGCTTTTTCAGTTTCGGCATTGTGTTGTCTATTTATATGGCTTGCATTTATGAAAGGTTATTTAAGTGATTTATGTGAAATTGATTTTTCGTAAATGTGTGTTTAACATCATGATGACGTCATTGAACTATTCTTAGATGTCCAATACCGATAAGCATATAACAAAGCTACTACTGAAACTAATACAGAAGTACGCTGTGCTAAAACAAGCTGTTCCACAAATATCTCAACAAAAGACGTAAATAAAACAATTGATAGAAATAACACATTGCTAAATACATGAACAACGTCAAAGACAAGCAAGTGACGTCGAAGACCCGACAGCTCCGTCGGTAGAGCGTTGAGCAGACTCAGGTGAATAAGCTCCGTCGGTAGAGCGTTGAGCAGACTCAGGTGAATATCCGAGATGTGTGCTTCAAGTGTCCCAGCTCCGTCGGTAGAGCGTTGAGCAGACTCAGCTTAATATCCGAGACGTGTGCTTCAAGTGTCCATACTCGGGAGGATTTGTATTTCTTCGGGTACATAGTATGTCCTTGGAGAAGAAATTTTACGATAATGCTACGTGTGACTGACATCCCGTATGTTGTTCAATCAGGTTGTCACCACTTTCGGAAAGGAACCCAAACCTCAAAATGACCTTAACTATTAATAGTAAGCCAGTGTATAACAAATAACTGACGGCTTGAGTTCATTGTCTTTGAGAGGTAAATATTACCATAATTTTAGGAAAATTCAGCCCTAAAATGTCGGCGATTAAAGTATCAATGTGGGAATCATGAGTGAATTTGCCAGTGCTGTGGTAAATACGGTACCGGAGGAAAGTAGTTCTAATTAGACGTATTGTTTCGGAGAATCCCAATCTGGTACGGTATAAAATGAGTCCGAAGTCCCGAGACATAAATATACATTTAACTGACCATTCCAGGGTGGGATATCACAATAAGATAACCAGCATTACGCACAAATATATCCCGTTCGGAAAGCCATTGTGATTTATGTTGCATTCTGACGACAATGCTCAAGCATTGATCGTAATTATCAATGTTTTGTCAAGAAATCGATAGAATCAATAACAACACTCTTAAATTTCATTGTAATAAATTAGATTTCTTTCATCGATAATTTCAAAAATTATATTTTGAAGTATTAAAATCTTGTTCAATTGGTAAAACCTTCAAAGTCCAGCGAATGTTATTTTCGAGTATCGAACCTAGGCAACACATACTGAGAAAACAGTATCAGAAATCTTTGCGTTTTCAGGAGAGGTTATTGATAGGAACATGATACGTATGGGTGAAAATTTAATGTACATGTGATGTGGGAATACTACAAGCTGAAATATCATTTAATGATAAAAATAATCGGCTTTCTTTTTTTTAACATGTTGAGCAATATGCTCGTATTACATATTCTCAAGAATTCAATATACAATATTTACAAATAAAATTACTAAATACATGTCACAGACAGGTGAAAAACAGCAACAGCTGGGAGGACTCCGACCGGGAGATGTCATTCCATATCAAATGTCTTTGCAGATTTCTTAAAAGCTAAAAGAGAAGTAGAATTTCTCATATCGTTTGGTAAAAGATTCCATATAAGAGCTATCTGGTAATTAAATGAGTTTTTAAAAATGTTTATTTGTAAGATGGCAAGTGAAAAACACGTAAATAGGAATATCGTGCAGACCTACTTTGAACATCAGACAAATAAGTGAAAAAAAAATCAAACTTTGTGGAGCTAAATTATTTATCACTTGTACATTAAAACAGTTTGATTGTATAAAACTCGTTTACAAAAAGGAAACCATTTCAGCTACTTAAACATACCACAACTAGGTGGAGAGAAATCACAGATTAAGATCGTTCATGCTGCTCTCTTCTACAGACATTCTTGTTTAACAGCATTTACGTGATACCTTTTTACAGATATCGGCAAATTGACAAAAAAACATGTGTTACTTGGTCAAATTTTATTAAAAGCTTCAATAAAAACTATAACATTTCACTTTTTGTTATTCATACGAAACTCGCGCATTGTTATAAATTCATTAGTCGTGACGCGGTTCCGAAGAAATTCTTGTATCGAATAAGTGCTTGGATGACTAGAGATCACAAAGTTAGGAAAAAAGGACAATATTTTTTCTCCATTATCTTTTTTTGAGTAAAGTTATCGTTCATCCTTGAAATGTTGTATTGACAAAGAATCCTGGCGCTAATGTCATTGATTTACTACTAGAGAATGTGATCTGTAAGACATGGGTATTTACAACAAGTGGTTGATCGTGAGTGACGATTTGACCGGAAGTGGCGAGGTCTACATTCTGTTTATCGGTAGTTTCCTCACTGGGGAGAAAAATAGTAGGCAAATCTATAGTCAAAATTTTTTACTGACTAACAGAAACATTTCTCGTTTAGGACCTTAATGAAGATTAAATTTTGTGGGAGGACATAAACATTATATGCCGTGCCTCGTGACTCTGAACATTGAACTGTTACCAAAGGGCAGTGTACAGTCGATATGATTAAAGTTTTAAATTTAAAATAAAATCAGATTGTGTGTTTGCAAGCTCAGTTTATTTATTGGTACACGCGGTCATGTTTGTTTATATTGGATACACTATCAGCTGTATTCATACACTGGCCTCATTACTGTAAACTGTAGTATATAGTCCCATATACTACAATTCGGTGTACTAGCGACATGGAGGCAAATGCAAAACATAATGTAAATATATACATATACATACACATACCTGTATATACATATACATAGAGTACATATATACATATACTTATAGATATACATATACATGGAGTACATATATACATATACATATAGATATACATATACATAGAGTACATATATACGTAAATGATTTTCATATAGATATACATATACATACATTTACATAAACATATACATACACACACATATATATATATACATATACATATATACAAACGACTTAGAGACAAATGCAATATAGAATGTAAATTTTTATTTCATATACATACATATACAACACTTGTTCTCTTTTCCTCAGGTATATGTTTGTCTGGATTATTAATCTAACCTGATTATTTCTGTTTAGAAAAAGATGAAAAACATACACCTTCAAGTATTTTAAACGATAAGCTTGAGCGGGTTATCTCCCCTGTCACACCCTCTCAAATGGTCAAACACTAGAAGAAATTAATACGACTGAGTGTGGAACCTATTTAACTTAAATATTAAACCAGTGTTTTTCCTGCATTTAATATTGAAAATAATCACTACCGATTCTGTAACATTTTTAATATGAACTAGGTTGTTCTTTTGCCAACTTCGAGCGGAGGAAAGCATCTCACCAAATATGGGTCAGACGGAGAGCGCTCATATATTCTGGTAGAAAATATGTTTCCAAACATCTGGTACAATGAACGTTTGTTTTCCTTTACAAACAGAATTACAGGACATTCTACACATTTCTCTAACATATCAAAATTGGTTGGTGATCATAAAAGTCATTTTCAATTCGACAGTTTTCTTCGTATTTCAAGAATGATATTTTTGACAACATTGAAAAATTGTTATCTAAAGCAATGTATATATATAATTTCAATAATACAAAAGTTAATTATTAAATTCTACAGTTCAGGAATAAATCATATTCATAAACAACAAATTATTATACAGAATGATCTGGCACTATTTCAAGACAAGTAATGACATAAAATTAAATTAAATTCTTTCTGGAATAGAGAGACACAAGTTATTAATTTTGTATGTTGCTACATGATGTATTACGACTTGAACACAAACAAGAATACGGAAAGAACACATGGACCACCTAAGGGAGCAAATACGTTTCTTGAAAATCCAAAGTGAGGGACTTTCATAGGTTATCTTGGAAAAATAAAAATGGTTTGCCGGGATCAAGAGGCAATAGAAAGATGCCAAATATAGTCCTCTCATACAATCAAGCAATGAAGATAGTAGGAATATTTGACCTTTAATATATATATATATATATCTACACTGACTGGAGAGGGAACTCTATTACTGGTCGTGTATACGTAAGTGTTCCATATCAATCAAGTCTCCAACCAGAGAAGGTAGAATATCCGTAACCGACATCTGTACTAATTATTGTCCAGTGTCCGGTTGTATGCCCCATACGTATGAAGACATGGTCACCCTCGTTCAGAGAAAGTACAACTAAGGACGATGACTGGTGAAAATCGCCGACATCAGTTGTATCTGAAAACGAGGCTCCTCTAACAACACCGTTCACCTCCAGGAGGGTGTGGTATTCTTGATGGGTGCCCGAGATTATCGTCCATGTTAGAACGTAAGTACCAGTCTCTGGAACTGTGTAGAGTCCGTCACTCGGGCTGTAACCGTTGCCATGGTCAAGCGTCTCGTCATCGTATACTATTATCGCATCTTCTGCATAAACTCTGTTTCCAGAAATGGCAGTATGGAACGCTATTGTCTGGGTCCCTGACGGCGGGGCAACACCTATAATTCAAAATATAAAACAAGCACCCGTGTTCTTGCCTAGTCACTTGATTTCAGTGTCATCATCTGTGTTTGTATAAACTTAAAAAATAAATTTTTGATTACCGTGCGATATGTTATGTTGATACTTAATAATCAAAGTTGCACGTTTATTATTTTTTTAATCTTGTTGCTATATTAGATGACTTACGACTTTGTCTTGATCTCGAAAACTTCTCCACTGGCACGTTCTCGGATTCATCATTGTCCACAAGAGATTGGGAGAAGGGAGTTGTTTTTGAAGGAAGTCTGTTTCCTTGAGTTTTATTTTCGAGAGATTTTGACCAGTTTTGCGTTTTGCGATGAGTGGTCTTGTTGATGGTACTGTAATATTGTTCCAAGTTATTTGTGTCAGATGTCGACCATTCCGTTTCTGATTTCCCATGGTGTCGTGTGTCATGTTTCTCTGTAATCTGATTCGCAATCACAATTTTTTCTAAGTCTGACACTCGTTCAACAAGTTTATCAATAATAGCATCCCTTTGTAGTATTGACTTTTCGTGCAACGTTATTTGAGATTCAAGTTTGTCCACAACTTTGTCTTTTTCAGCCAACACACGTTCTATTCCTTCAATCTTCTGAGAAACAAAGGAAACAAGATCGTGCCAGGCTTGTGGATGAGTGATAGAGTCGGAATCCTTTCCATTGTCAATATCTATATTTTTTCCACTAACACTAAAATCAACAGATACACATATGACTAGAACGAACGTCACAAGCATTGCTGCCATCTCGTCAGCTACATAAACACTGATCGACTTGATAAAAGTCTTATCTTGGTTGACATCAGACCCCGATAATCATATACAGTGGAGATAGTGACTACAATATACATATGTTTAGTTGTTAGATAAAGACGTGACCGGATTAAATTAGATCATTACTAAGCTTGACATCGCAGCCAATGAAAGCCTTGGAGTTCATCTTTGGTAATGGCAAGAATGATGATCCATTATAGAAATTCACTGGCAAACGCAGTTTTTAACGTCTGATTAGGTCAATTACCTGGGATGAAGCCTTGTGATTAGTTAAAGAAGTAATACACAATGAATGGAAGTCAGATAAGGATTTAATGGAACCATATCTACAATGTTAACCTTTAAGCAGTGTTCGTGTCCAATGCTCCGAAATTCTCGTGTTTATTCATCTACTTGCGTGATGTCAAACGCAACGTTTAATTCACTTTTTTGTTTTGTTTATTTATTTTTTAACGGGAAAATAGAAGAAAAAAAAGTTTAATATAACTTTCCACTTCAGCTACTAAGCCTTTTTTCTTTTGCTTTTTCAATTAAGAAGTTATCACTGTAATAACTTCAGTATCTAAAGCTACATTTTTAAGACTACACCTACACAAGCAAAAAGACTGGTATTCTTGGCAAGTTGTCTACTGATGACGTCATTCGATGTCTTAGACGGTCTAAGGGACGCAACTCACAAATGGTAAAAAAAATTGGTCACACAATGAAGTAAGAAATATTAAAGACTGTAGTGTTATACTCTCAGTTAGGTCAACATCAGTTGCATACTGCATGTTTTTATTTAATTTTTGTTTATTATTATCATAGAGAACTGCAAATCGATGTTTGCAGCGACACGTTGATATCACTTCTCCTATTATGAACAACTTTCGACGGATAACTTAATTTAATGAATGCATGCATCGTAAACATAAACGATATAGTAACATTTATTGCAACTAGATATATCTGATTAACATAAAAGTGAGGGGGCAGTATTATCTCAAATCATGTAATTTCAAATCACAGATTGGCGATATTCACATTCTGTTCCGTGTCGGAATATTGGCTAGAGTGAATCCTAGAAGTTGCTATTATCTAGTACGAGTTGTTTCCCCTACACGAACAATTTGACTCGGATCAAAAATGGCTGGGAGCCGACAGCTGCAGACAAGGAAAAAAAACGCCTGGCACTTAACGCTGATAAGGTTAAAAGCTAATACTTGCATAAATTATTTGATGGAAAAGCAGCAAAACCCAGATTTTGAAGCATAAGAAATACATTGGCCATTTTTTGGATGCAAATTTATGGGACGTATTATATATAACATCAATCTTTTTATCCAGGAATATAGGGGTTCAGTCAAAGATCGCCCTCACCCCCTACCAATCTGACTGAACCCCTATATTCCTGTAGGGGGTCACTAGCAAACTACATAACTAATAAAATGTGACAGCAACCAAATCATGTTTTTTATGTCGTTGAAATTCAAATCGTACTTGAACAATTCTGGGTGAGCCTGCTAGACTGCTAGGTCGATACTTGCATAAATCATGATATTTAGCATAAGAAATACATTCCATTGGCTGCAAATTTATGACAGCATCAATCTTTTTATCCCAGATCGAAAGATCGGAGGTATATTGCTTTTGTGTTGTCTGTTTGTCTGTCTGTTGTCAACTTATACATTGTCCATAACTAATGCACCGTAAGAGGTAGGGCTTTCATATTTGCATGTGGGTTCCTTGTGGCAAGACAAGTTTTGATGTCCCACTTCAGAAGTTTGTTGCAACCGGGGGCATAGTGTTTCATAAACACATCTTGTTTTCTTTTTAAAACAATTTTTTTAATATCCTGTTGATGTCATGCCACAGTACAGTACTCTTAAATAATACAAGAATGTCATCTTGTCAATATTATCTTTAGTGGGTATATTTTACAACTGATTAAAAAAACTATGATATACATGTATATTGAGCAAGTTATAGGTAAATGGATACAGCCTTTGAAATAACAAGTGATAGGTATGTCTAGACATAGCGTTAAGAACAAGTATTATTCATTACAATGGTCCCTGGTTTATGAGTCAAAATGGAGTATTCCATTGATCCACCGAGTAAGGCGAGGTATCGGTAGTGATGGGTAGGCCATATCAAGGGCTATAACTCTTCCAACCTTCCAGATATTTTCATTTCAATCTTAAAATCGCATTGTGAATAGATCGCGTTGTTTGCATCAAGTTAACATATAAATTCGATGAGCTATGTCCGTCCTTTATTGGACCTAATATCATATGAACATACAAGATACCTTTTGCATTTACCTTCTAAAATCTGTAATGATATACTCAAGAAAAATATGTGTTGGCGGGTAACTCAAAACTTATAGAAAATTGTATATCTATGTGTCCATGTCGTATACATAAATAACACCTTTAACACCTGAATTTGTCTTGACTTAAAATAAACCCCACAAGTCTGTAAAGATCTGCTGATTCAAACGCCTTTTGTACCTGTGCGAACCCATAATGAACTTCAATATTTTCCAAGCTTAAAGATTTATGAAATTAAGGTGGCCAAAAATTCTAAAATTTAACTTTGCTCCGGTGATAATTTTTTGAAAGGTTATTTTTTAGAGTAACATAGCAGCACACACAAACGTGTTACGATACTTTTCTGTTCATTCAACAGGCGCCAGAACCTGTTCTAAACATTGATTAAATACTCAAAGTTGAGTTTTTTTTTTTTTTTTTTTTTTAAATACAGGCATGTGCTCCACACAACCAGGATTAATGTGTTCCTAGTCTGAGATTTGTGGTGATATTTCCTGTAATTTATCAAACTTCTACCACACACTTCCCGAGTTTATTCAAGAGAAATTTTCATAGAACGTTAACATTCTTGACGCTGCTAACCAAATCATGACAACAACTACCCCGTCCCAAATTAGCATCAAGCAAAAATCATACAAGAGGTCAAATGAAACGTTGCAGTTAAGCTTACTGGTATACGAAACAAAAGCTTGATGGACATTCCAAAATTCCACGATCTTTGGCCGATATGAAGTTTGAGGAAGCAGCTATTTTATAAATTATTACAAGTCCTTTCATATTTTGAAATATCATTCTGCAATCTTTTGTTTTCCAGTAAAGCATTCCGTATGTTTCGAACGTGCCAAGAACGTGCCTTGAACGTGGCAATTCTCGGTCACCTACCCTTTATGACGTTGTAATTGTTTGCTGATCTGCAAATTTGCCCGAGGTTCACTGGCTGTAACCTCTGACACACGAGAAAAGACATCTGACGAGTAACGAATTCCGGCTGGCTCGTGATCAAAGGCTACTATTGTTTCCCAGATGGAGAATGCTTTTGAATGACAAAACAATGAGGCAATAGGTTATGTCATAACGTGTGTGTTATATATCTAAACGTGTGCGTTATATATCTACGGGTATTATCACTGAAGTCCAGGTGGTAATGGTATTCTAATAATCCTTTATGTTTTTACAATAGTTCACAGTAGTCTATTATCAGTGGTTTTGTCACGTAGTACCCTTCTCTTACCTTTATTTGTATCTGTATCGAGTGACACTTAAAGCCCAAATAGCACAATACAAACTAGAACGTGGAGAATTAACATCAATAAAGGCGTTTGATCACTTGTATATGATGTATCAAACAGGACGCTTGTATCAGATGACTGGAATAAGAAGCTTGTATCAGATGACTGGAATCGGACGCTTGTATACAATGTATTGAACAGGACGCTTGTATCTGACAACTGGAATGGGACGATTGTATACGATGTATTGAACAGGATGCTTGTATCTGACAACTGAAATGGGACGCTTGTATACGATGTATTGAACAGGACGCTTGTATCAGACAACTGGAATGGGGCTATTGTATTAGACAACTGGAATGGGGCGCTTGTATCAGACAACTGGAATGGGACGCTTGTATCAGAGGACTGGAATGGGACGCTTGTATACGATGTATTGAACAGGACGCTTGTATCAGACAACTGGAATGGGACGATTGTATACGATGTATTGAACAGGACGCTTGTATCAGACAACTGGAATGGGACGCTTGTATACGATGTATTAAACAGAACGCTTGAATCTCACGACTGGAATGGGACGTTTGTATACGATGTATGGTACTGGAGTTTGTATCTAGACAACTGGAATGGGACGCTTGTATACGATGTATTGAACAGGACGCTTGTATCTGACAACTGGAATGGGACGCTTGTATACGATGTATTGAACAGGACGCTTGTATCTGACAACTGGAATGGGACGCTTGTATACGATGTATTGAACAGGACGCTTGTATCTGACAACTGGAATGGGACGCTTGTATACGATGTATTGAACAGGACGCTTGTATCAGACAACTGAAATGGGACGCTTGTATACGATGTATTGAACAGGACGCTTGTATCAGACAACTGGAATGGGGCTATTGTATTAGACAACTGGAATGGGGCGCTTGTATCAGAGGACGGGAATGGGACGCTTGTATACGATGTATTGAACAGGACGCTTGTATCAGACGACTAGAATGGGACGCTTGTATTAGACAACTGGAAGGGGACGCTTGTATTAGACGACTGGAATGGGACGCTTGCATACGATGTATTGAACAGGACGCTTGTATCAGACGATTATAATGGGACGCTTGTATACGATGTATTGAACAGGACGCCTTGTATCAGACGATTATAATGGGACGCTTGTATTAGACGATTATAATGGGACGCTTGTATTAGACAACTGGAACGGGACGCTTGTATCAGACAACTGGAATGGGACGCTTGTATACGATGTATTGAGTAGAACGGTTGTATAACTACGCATCAAACAACATGCATGCATAGTCCGGATGGTGATAGAGATGGTCGGTTTGGACACTTGAATAACGTCGCCGCATAGTGTTTGAATACAGAAACGTACGGATCAGGACGTGTTAAAGTAATATGTTCACAAATAGTAAGGTGATAATGTAATGTTACGTGTGCGTCAGGAAATGTGATTGATAAGATAATTATATGTATATCGCGAGATGTATAAATAATGTTATAGACAATATATATAAATATAGATATCTCGAGATACATGAATTTTCAAGAGAAAAAAAAACCAACTTCATTTGCCCTTCAAAACCATAGTTAGATGGTGTGATGTCCAGACTAGAACCATCCTATACAAACATATCTGCTTCAGTCTAACCATAGTTAGATGGTGTGACGTTCAGGATAGAATCTGCTTCAGTCTAACCATAGTTAGATGGTGTGACGTTCAGGCTATAACGATCCTTTATAAACATATCTGCTTCAGTCTAACCATAGTTAGATGGTGTGATATCCAGACTAGAACGATACTTTACAAACAACCAGTCTTACCAAAATAATATTATTTTGACATGTTGAGATTTTCACTTATTCCTTCATTCCTTTAAAATTAATCTTATTCACTTGAAATACCTTCCGTGCTATCTTTCGGCCAAATCAGCGTGGATGTTTACCTTCAATCTATTTAAGTTATTGGATTTGTTGTTTGGAGAGTTTGTGACTCTAGGCAGATTTAAGGTCACTATTTCTTGTTTAATTGGTGGTGGGTGGACTTTCGTCCTCTGATGTGGGTGATTACTTACAAACACAACTATGTCAGTGCTCGCTGTAATGAATATCTCAAATCCCAGTAAACTTAACACTAAACCTAACGATCAACAGACAAGTAACTGAAGCCACTCACTTCATTACCTAGACATTAGCACAGAGTGCAAACTGAAATATCTTATTAGCGATATCTGCAAATAGGCACAAAACCAGATTTGAACCCAAACAGAATGAGCTACATAAAACGAATTCCATCTCTATCAATTTAACATTGGTCTGAGATTTTCTTAGTCGTTTTCAAAGAATTGAGAGTACGATGGGGTTATATGTAGCAACGACGTCAGGTTGTAATAGCTTATAATACACGAGGTGCGGTGTCTATATAGAGGGTACATGGTAGTTATGTGTCTATATATACAGGTGGTACATTGTAATGATGTGTCTATATATACAGGTGGTACATTGTAGTGATGTGTCTATATATACAGGTGGTACATTGTGTCTATATATAGAGGTGGTACATTGTAGTGATGTGTGTGTATATAGAGGTGGTACATTGTAGTGATGTGTGTGTATAAACAGTTGGTACATTGTAGTGATGTGTCTATATATACAGGTGGTACATTGTGTCTATATATACAGGTGGTACATTGTAATGATGGGTCTATATATACAGGTGGTACATTGTAGTGATGTGTCTATATATACAGGTGGTACATTGGTACATTGTGTCTATATATACAGGTGGTACATTGTAGTGGTGTGTCTATATATACAGGTGGTACATTGTAGTGATGTGTCTATATATACAGGTGGTACATTGTAGTGATGTGTCTATATATACAGGTGGTACATTGTAGTGATGTGTCTATATATACAGGTGGTACATTGTAGTGGTGTGTGTTGTTGTTATGGTTACAGATTGACGAACTGTGTGACGTAATGTACATATATACATGTATGTGTTATCCTTAAAATGTTTAGAATTCCCCCATTTGCATAAAAATCTAAAATATGAAATTGCTCGTCATTACTCTCCTAGATTGTAGCTATGTTTTTGACGTTATATTCCACATATCCTTATCACATTTATATATAAATGATGGTTGTCTTCCATGGCAGATATATAACACACCTTTTATTCTTCAGTTCATAAAGTGCTCGATCGGTTATTTTTACACGAAACGAAACAAAACTATTAGAATTTAGATTTGTGATGTACTTGATTATAAGCATTATTTAGAGCCGTAATTCCCGTCACGTGACTGGACCGTCATTCAAACGGAAACAATGATTCACTTCCTGTAATAGAATCTTGATTTATATAACATAGCAAATCAATAGGGACAGTGATTATATGGACTCATTTTCACAAGCCTCATTCAGTACAGACAGGTGTTACAGGGACACGTAACATATTCTACCAGTACTAAGACGCAGGGTAATATTATTACAAGTATCAATTTGTGTAGACGTCCCTGTGTTTTTGAT